CGATTGACAATTTGTCGGTCGCCTTGGAGCAAGGCAACACGGCTGTGGCATCCGTTTTTCTTGATTTCGAAAGTGATGGGAAAAGAATCGACGCCAAAGATCCTTTCATAGCTGATGACGAGTCGTTTTCCTTACTTTTCCTCGCGACACCATCCGGGAATGCATCTACTGTCGAACTCCTCCTCGATCACGGAGCCGACATCAATTCCAAGTGGGGGGGACGAACGCCTCTGGAAGCGGCAATCAGTTTAGAGAAGTGCGACGCTGAGACCATTGATCTCTTAATCGCCCGAGGCGCGAGTCTAGTATACGGCAGCTTCTCCTTGCTACATCGTGCAGCTTCATTGGCTTCCCGAGTCAATGGTCACCATGTTCTGTTTCATCTCCTTAAAAACCCAGAGATCCGGAATTTGATAAACAGCACCGCAAATTTCGGTGGTAAAAACCGCGGTATCACGCCTCTCAATATAGCAGTCTATTCCGGAAATCCTGACGCGGTTCACGCCCTTCTCCAAGCCGGAGCTCTTGTCGAGACTGGAGACGCGCTAGATTCGATTTTGCAACTCGCGGTTAATGTTGGCCGACGTCCTCAAACCAGTCCTTTGTGGGAAAATAAAACCATCAATGAAGAGAGTCTCTACAAGTGGCGCTTAGACATGGAGAATATCATCATTGCCCTGCTGGGTAAAGCAAACCCAGGTCACGGGAGGAGTAGTCTTCACATTGCCACTGAGTTAAACAACCGACCAAGAGTTATAGAGCTAGTCGAACGTCACGGCTATCGCATCTGCGTTGGAGATAAAGAAAAGCTCCTGCCTACAGCATACCTAGAAGACTTGGACAGTCTGAGTCGGAATGGAGACGACCCGGAGTATCAAGAGAACCTGCGGCTCCTCCAGCAGTACATTCAAACTAAGCTACTTGAAGAAATAGCACGGGGTTCAGAGGAACCAGATTTCATCGAGAAGATGCTGGAGGATCTCTCAGTAGAAGACGACGCAGACTTTAGCATTGAGGATGCGAGAGTGACTTTTGAGAAGGCCCTCTCAAAACTTGAGACCGAACGGAATGAAATCCGTCTATCATTGGGTGATGGATTCGAAACACCTTTGGAGAGGGAAACGGAACTAAGAAATTCTCTTGAGACGCAAAGACAAAGACTGGGGGCCACTCATCTCACAACTTTGAAGACCGCGACTACCCTCTGCGACCTGTTTGTATTGCTTTACAGGTTTGACGAAGCTGCACTGCTCAATCAAGAAATCCTCGAAGGCAGAGAAGCCCAGCTGCCTTCGGATAGCCCGGAGCTCTTCGAATCTTTGCTAGATAGGGTTTGTGTCCTTGCAGGTCAAGCCAAGACTCAGGAAGCCCACGAGGATGCTCAGAGCATTCACCAAAGGGCAGTCGATACGTTCGGGATCACACATCCCGTGACGCTCAAAGCAGAAGCCTTTCTGGCCTGTACATATTCCATTCTTGGGCAGTTCGACCTTGCGATATCCATGGCAGAAGGAATCCTGAAATGCTACGACAATCACGACTTGGACGAAGACGAAAAGTTCGGGGGCTATAGACATTCCTTGCTCGAGCTGAGATGTAACCTTGCGGTTGACTACTGCAAAGCCCAAAGATTCAATGAGGCGGCAGAAATAGCCAGAGCCTTGCCAACCACGCTTCTTTATGTCAAAAAAAGAGAGTTTTTCCGCACATTCGACGCAATCATCAACGTTGCTGCCACCTTCGAATTCTATCAGCGATTTGAGGATTCCGACTCTGTCTATGGCGCCATAATCAAAATGTGCATCAAGACGCATGGGAAAAAGAACGCGTACTGCACCCGGCTTGCCTTAGAGAAGCTTGCCAACAGCTATCAGTCTCGGTGCTTGTGGAAGCAAGAGTCAGAAACGCGCCAAACGCTGGTTGAAGTTCTTAAATCGGCATCGAGCGCGGGAGACCACGAAGCATTAACTCAGATGATCAACCTAGCCATCTCATTGAAGAACTTGCAGCGGTTGGTTGAAGAAAGCGTCGTTCTCGAACAGGTTCTTGAGGGGTATGAACTCTGCCTCCAACCTGACCCTACGAATATTTCCCGTGTCAAGGTCATGCTGTGCGTGAATTTTAGGAAACAGAAGCAGCTCGACCGTGCGGAGCAATACGGGCGTGAGGCTCTTGAAGAGTATCAAGCTCACCTCGGTCAAGAGCACGATACAACTGTTAGTACTCAATACGCACTTGCCTCAATCATGCTTCTCTCGCATCAAGACAAGGTTCATGATGCTATTCAGCTTCTACAACAGAATTTGGACATCGTGGCTCGCAAGTTTGGCGAATTACACACCGAGACGAGGGCTGCAACTTTGCACCTGGTCAAAGCCTATATTAAGGCCAAACGCTTTGAAGAGGCCGAGGAGGCAGCACACCAGTGTCTTAAGATCAGCGGCGAGGTCCCGGAGTCCAGCAAAGCTTTGGAGCAAGCATATCATTGTCTCGGATACGCCAAAGAGCTTCAAGATGAACTAGACGAAGCGAGTACGTTTTATAGAGCCTCTATTGAAATTGGGCTTGACAGTCGCGATGGTGTGCACTCAGATGATTCACTTTATACCATGAGGCTCTTGGCAGCAATCCACGTTGGGAACGAAGACTTCCAAGAAGCTGAGACAGTTTTGCTGGAGATCTTGGCAGCGTCGCCGGAGGTCTATGGGACAACCCGCCCTGACATGGCCTGTCGCGTCCATCATCTACTGGGACAGGTTTACGAAAATACCGATAAGCCCCAAGAGTCCGTCGAAAACCATAGCTTAGCAGTAGATCTGGCTCGTGAAGCACTCGGCGAAGATGCAGAGGAAACTCTGTGGTTTTTGGAGAGCCTCATCAGTGCAAAGGTGGCGACTCAGTCGTTCCGAGAGGCACTCCAGCTTGCTGAAAAGCTTTTGGCACATTCAGAGGAAGTACTCGGCGAAGTCCACGAACTCTCGCTCGCAGTCAAGCAAAGTCTTCTCATCATCTACCAAAAGTTAGGAATGTGGCCAGAGTCAGAGCGCCTCCATCGGGAATTCCTCCACTCTTTCGAAGAAACTGGAGTTGACTCCCCCGACGAATATGCCTTTCTCTATCGATCCCTGTCAAAAGCATGCACCAAGCAAGGTTTCCACAGCGACGCAGAAGTCTTCCTTTCGAAATTCTGGGATTGGTACCAAAACAGCGAACCAGACGGAGAAGAAGAAACCATCGAGGTTTTGGCCGAGTTGGCACGAGCTTACGCAAGAACGGGAAATTTCGACGTCGCGAACCAGTTCATATCCCGCATGCGGGCCATAAGCGAGTCTCTCTTTCCTGACGATGACTATGATTATGAAGATGATCGGGACAGGCTTTGCGCATCCGCGCGTGCAGATGTCATGTTCCTAGCCTGTCAACGGGAGGAAGCTGCAGACTTAAAGCAGAAATACGTGGACCTTGAACCTACCGACTTGGATGCAGTACTCGCCTTATTGGACATGTACGAGACAATAGGTGAATATGCTAAAGCGGCCAAGGCTCTGCCTTTAGCCATTGGCGGTGCTTGGATCCTCAAGACACAGTCAAGCCCGGAGGTTCATCAAGTGGCGATCGCTAAGGTTGCTACATATGATTCAAGGATACATACAGCAATAGGTGATTTTGAACTTGCCCAAGAACAGGCTACATTGGCAGTGAATCGGGCATCAAAGTGGGATCTCGGCAACTTCACCTACGCCGAAACATATCGAAACGCTCTCCAAGCCATGATGGCATTATATGAAACGCTCGGACGGGACAGAGAAATGGAGGAGACCAGACTTAAGGTTAGTAATGGTCTTTGTATTGAGATACCTGCTTTAGCTAAACATTCGTACAGCTTATGAAAGAACTTCGCCGACAGGAAGAAGCCAGGGACAACCACTTGGATGGGCTAGCACGAGATCGGGCGAAGGTGAAAGGCTTTTGGACAGGAATGCTTTCAGTAGGACATCCTTAATAATCTAGACAGGATACTGGGGAGGCTTGATACGACTTTCTGTCTTTCTATTCTTTTACTTCTGCCTTCGGCCCAGTGTCCGTTTCCTCAGCCTAAATGCACTTACGGCTTTGTCTTAGTATGGAGAATTTTTCCTTTTTTGGCTCGTTTACCTACTAACTCCATACTTCTTGGCCTTCTTTCTGACGTACGCAGTTCGTTTAAAATGTTGAGGCCAAATATGTCATGAGCTTGTTCAAGATTCAAAGAACTGATAGTCGAACGGCTTGCCTAACTGCATACCTGGTCTACTTGATAAGACTTTGAAATCCCTCCCACAATGCACCACGGATATTTCTCGCGGATATCCCCTCGTTCTCATATTAGACAGAAGTCTGTTCATCTAATTACCTACTCAGGCGTAGTCGAAGGTATGTAGTCTGACGTAATTGAATCCCAACTCTAAACTTTTGGGTTCGGAAAGTCGGACAAAAGTCTCCACCAAACCCCATCATCCCAAACCCGACCCCCCCGCAATACCACCCACGGCTCCGAGCCCGAACCCGAACTTCGCAGCCCGAGCCTCCATACTCTCTGTTTGTTACGAGTTATGGCACGCAGCAATGGGCATACGGAGTATGGTAAAGTAGCTTAACCTATCAAAGTAGTAATAGACAAAAGAGAAGCTCTAAATACAGTATGTAAGTGATATACATGTAACACGGCACGTGACGAGCACTTTGTGGATTGCGGTTCTCATCCCTGTTACATGACACTTATCCAAGTGCATACCTTAGGTGAACACCATCTCAGCCCATAGAACATTCAAATTTGAGGCATGCTCTGCTTAGATGTTGGGCTGAATTGGCAGAGCTACTCACCCTAAGGAATTTCCCTCTGTGCATGTGAACCAAAGTGGCCGGTTCTCCGACCGACCGAACAATCTCACGTAAGACGCACTTCCCGAATCAAGCAACGTACCTAGCCTCCACGATAGCATACCGTCGATAGCCATCAAAACTAGTAGTGATTCAGCAATTAGATTGGTTGGGTATCGTAAATTCGTGGGGTCGACTTGCAGGACAGATGTCTTACCTACCTACTATTTCCTATTGTGGCTACGTCAGTTGCAATTCGCCCTGGTGCCGACACCTGAAGGGAGAACGCCTCCAGATCAGCGTTTGACAAAGGAACCCCGCCAACATCATCACGCACTACGCAATAAAAGATGGGATTGAACCCGCCTACATCGGAACTCCTCAATCACACTCACGCAACCCATCGTGACATCTATCCGTCTGACTCGCATACTCCATTAACCCAATTCCCCTGACCCAAATCTCCAACGGCCAAAATGCCCTACTTCTCCCGAAATCCCTCCTTCAACCTCTTCTACCTAGACGAAGGCCCCCGTACGGCATCCCACACAGTCCTCCTCATCACAGGTCTCTCGTGCGAAATGCACGACTGGTCCTGGCAGGTCCCCTTCCTCCTATACCATAACCTCCGCGTAATCTCCATTGACAGCCGCGGGCAGGGCAAATCCTCCGCCCCGGCGCCGGACCCCAAAATCCGCACCTGGCCCGGCGTCGAGAAATCCGCCGACGCGGAGGTGATAGACTACTACCCACAATCCACAGCCGAAGACATGCTCGCCATGCTATCACACCTAGGCATCACCAAGAACCTCATCGTCATCTCGCATTCCCTAGGTGAAGCGGCAGGGTACTACATCGCCACCACTCGTCCGGACCTCGTGATAGCATCCATCGGTGTAGACCCAATTCACGCCTTCCCCAACGTCGTCCGCGAACGCGACACCTACCTCTTCGACGATCCCGAAGCCCAGCACAAGATCATCCCGACTCTCATCGAATTCTTCGGCACATACTGCTACTCCCCGGAATGTCCAGCCTGGCAAAAGACGTGGCACCTCCGCCGCATGGCACAGTTCGACAAGGCCGTCATGTACGCCCTGTGCTGGGGCGGCTGGGGAGACGCGGAGAGCCTGGGCAGGCAAGAGAACGCAGTCAAGGCCTTTGCGGGAAAGCTCAAGTGCCCACGCCTAACACTGGGTTCGAACGATTGGTATGTTAGTACTGATCGTGATCATCTGCCGAAGGGCGATGAGGCGCTGGATGAGATTGTGGTGATCGAGGGCAAGGGCCACTGGTTTCACCAGCTCGAGAGCGAGGAGTTTAATGGGCATTTAGAGAGGTGGTTTCAAAAGATCGGCGTGCTGCCGGCGATAGAAGCTGGCGCGGCGTCATGAGTGCAAGGTCGTGTTCCAGCTTTCTAGTCAAGTGTGTTGGGTGGTTTGGAAGGGGCTCAGGTTCAAGTGCCGGCAGCACTCATAGTGTACGGACTGTCGGCCGCGACGCGGACGGTAAAGGGTCCTTCACGGGATGGTATGGAACGCACCGTGACGGGGCTGTGAGAGGGGACTGCCGGCCCCATTCTCGGCCCTGCTTCTGATAACCTTAAACAACCTTGGTCTCGCCTTGAACACAGGCACAAACACAATAAAGGGGTTCAGTTCCTCACGAGTCTGTGTCGCGCATCCTGGAATGTAGTTGACTAGTTGGTCTGCAAATGAGTCGAACTCCCATCCATCGAGTTATCCGGCAATTGGGGTCTCGAACATACATGACTTGGAGTGGAAGTGATATCTGATTAGCCCTGCCGACCGAAGCGGCGTTAGGGTTTCATGGGATGGTAGTCGAGTCCGTCGCCGATGGAGGATGGGGCCAGTAGCCGGCGCTGAAAACTGGTGACGGACTACTTGACATCGGAAGCGCGATAGAGTTGGGCGTGTAAGAGCCGCTCATCGTGGGCATCGCCGAGGTCCCACAGTTCCGGCCAGCATTGCCGTCAAACGCCGGCACGCACTCACTGTCGCGGCGTCAAACAGCGGCAAAGGCGGGGATGGATCATGGAGGAGGACTAGGCGGGCTTTCCAATGTGAGTGAGGTGGCTGGAGCGTTGGCTGCGTTGTGTGTGTGAACGGACGACTGGGCAGCAAAACGGCAACCCGCCGGCGGCGGTGCAGTGGCCGTGAGAATGCCGTCCGTCCAATTGGATGTGTCATGTCGCATGAATAACTTGCCGACTAAGTCCGTCGGCGATGAGGTCGGCCTGTGGCGGCCTTGTCTAGGATCCCGTCGCAAACTCTGGACGAGTCTGCTGCCGTCCCTCTCCATGGTTGCGTTGCGAGGATCCGAGCTCTTCGCTTCTTGTGATGTGCGTGCCGTCAAGGTCGAGGAAAGTTGGGGAAATTCGTCTGTGCTGCTCCATCCACGGGGAGATCATACTCATGGGTAAGGGCGGAAGAAGATGAGGGGTTTGACATCAGACCCAAGCTCCTTTTCTGCTCTCTCACCCCTCTCGGAATCCCAACGCAACGGCTCCCCCACCATAGCTATGAGGAATCTTTGACGTCAGACTCTATAGCTCAAAGCAGAGGTCCAGTAACGGCATCGATCGGAAGGTTGCTGACGACGCTAAAAGCCTGTGGCGCCTTGCCCCCATAGGTTTTCACGGGACGAAAGGCACCTTCTCTCGAGTAAGTGATGCTGCTTGATCCTTGAACCACCGAATAAGACGTAAAGGGAATCTCGATGCTGGTGTCAGCTCGCACCATCAGCTGCTTTTTGGAGCCCCATGGATGACAATTAGGTCTTACGGGTTGTGCCACCAGCCAACTCTGGTAAGCTTCGTACCTGATTTACAAATATAATGATTTGGCCTAGTAGGAAATTCTAGCCCCTCGGTGCCTGGCAAGGTTCGACAAGCCTCGATTTCATATGAATTGCCGCGTTTTGGCATCCGAGACTTTGCCATCCATCCATCCAATTGAAGAGACTTTGCCATGGCGAACAGCCTTCTGGTTGGAAATAGTAGCAATGGTGTCTTGGCTCGTCGTGGCTTGTGGATCCAGCGGCATCGTATGCCGCAGATCATCTGGCCGCTGTCAGGGTCCAACGTCCTGCAGCTCGATGGGAGCACGCGCCAACGGAACGAGACCCTTTTAACGTGTGCGAGCGATTGTCCAGCAGGCAGAGACCCTGATGCACGAGATCAAGGTGTCGTCTGTGCAACTTAAGCCTCATGTTCAAGTCTGAGCTCATAGTTTTTCGGCCTTAGACTCGGCGTATCATGGGTTCCTTTGACAACTCGGCTTGCTTCCTCAATACGGCTAGAATTGCAGGTTTGGCATTGGGCTCAGCATCCCTCTGCGCCAGCAAAGTCTGTCCTCGAGGTCGAATTGCTGACGACCATGTGTGGGACAGCTCAGTCCACAGTTGGATTCCCAACAAGAAAGAAGAGCCAACGAACAAAGACAGCTAGGTAACCACCGGAACCTGCCCCGGAGGATTCTTCGAGGGCGCCGTGTGAGACATTGGGCGCTCTAGTAACAAGCGCGGTGCGCTACTTGTACGCTTTTAGAGTTTGACCGGTTCGGGGCAAGTCAAAGTGACGTCTCAGTCACTTCCGCCACCACCGGACGGACACCAATAGGCTTTGTCCTGACCCAACTCACCGAGGTCGTTCGCCTGGCCTAGGGGCTACTGCACGCGCCGTGTTCGCCCGCGTTGCCAAGGATGGATGAGTGGTCGACCTCAACTACATGGGATATGCCGCTACGGCTACGAGCGATCTTAACCGGGATCAGCCAGATCAAACATTCTCCAAATTTCCACATTTATCGTGGGGAGCTTCCCCAACCTTACCAATACGATTTAACCTCTTCACATAGCTTCAATGTCCGCAACTTCCCTTCAGGCGCGTCAGCTTTGGTCCTGTTGGAGTACTGCTGATGAAAGAGTCGCTCGAATGTCGAGCCCACATCGCCGCTGGATTGACGAGACTTAGTCGCAATGGCCAGCTTGGCCAAATCACAACAGGGCCACTCGAGGGTCGAGGAGAAGCGCATGACGGTAAGCTTCGAAGACCCCGGCGATGAGATGATACAAGCCAGGCTAATTTGTGAATGAAGCGCGACGGCCCCAAACCACGAAGGGCATTCATCTCTGCGTCCCATCAACGACGGTCTTCCGGGTATCCAGCATCATGGACATCTAGATGGAAACATCGCCATCAACCTTCACCAATCCGACCTCATAGTGAACCGCAGGACAGCTCACCCGGGCCACTGGTCCTTATTCGAAGAGAATCCTCCCAAACACTGCTGGATTCGGATGAGGAACCAGAACTAGTCCTTCCAAAGTCCATCCAAGTCGGCCCAGAAGTGTTATCGGTGAACCGCTTCTACACCAACTATGCCGCGCAAGCGAGTATTCTGATTTTCAGTCGGCTTCCCGAGTACTACGATGTCGATCTGTCCGATGCCAGCCATGCACGACACGCCACACACGCTGTGGCTTTAGCGAGTGCGTCTCGATCACTCCGTCAGTCAGGGCTCATGGTCGAAGCTCGTCGACATTACGGCAAAGCCATTTCAACACTGAACCAAGCCCTGCAAGACCCAGTTGCTGTGCGAGACGATGCCAACCTGGTCACGTTGTTTTTGTTTGGCATGTTCGAGGTAAGCCTGAGTTGACTCCTTGGAGGCTGGCGACTGTTATGTTTCGAACTACTCTCCAAATATTCCTTAGCTGAACCCAATAGGTCATCAATGGCAAGCGAGGCACAAGCACAATCGACTTGCAAGAGAACGTGTTTCCTCACGGGGCTGGAGGTTTGCAGTTATTCAAGTTCCGGGCAGACCATGGCCTGACAAACGAAGTCGACAAAGCCTGCTTCACCTTCTTCTGTCATGCGGCGGTGAGTAATTTCGATCTTTTCTGCCATGAGCCCTTTAGCTGATCTTTCTATGACAAGTTAATGGAGATGTTCATACAACGAGACCACTTAACGCCCCTATGGTCAATGCTGGAAGAAGTGGAAACTCCGTGGGGCAGAGGCCCGGTTCTCGAGCCGCTTGTTCGACAGGTAGTCGATTTCAAGAGAGCCTTTGACTTCAAGGTGCAAGTTCAAGGTAGCTTGACCAAGATAACTGAAAGTCCCCCGGAGGATTTGCTAGATCTAATCCGAAACGGCATCGATTTGAGCAGCGATCTTGAGGCAGCCGTCGCATTCCTCGGTTTCTCTGGCGCTTCGACATGTTCCGGACAGCAGCAAAAAGTCTTCAACGGTCTATTCTCACTTTCGTCTGAGTCATCCGTTGCTATCGCGCGAAGTCATTACCGTTCGCTTCGCGTATACCTCCTAGAGAGGATTATCGAGTTACGGAACATTCTAAAAGAGAGCAGCGGCAAAGTCGCCACTAGCTTGGGTCCTATGCCGAGTTGGTCGGATGGTGTCTCTGTCGTTGAAGACGTTCTCGAAGATATCCGAACGGTTTTCGGCCTGGAAGGGAAGAAAGAGGCGCCAACCGAGGGCATTGCTTACAGAACAATGACAATGTTCTGGCCAATGGTTATGGTACGCACTTCATGTTTCGCAGGCCCTCATAATGGTAGGTGGGTGGCAGAAAAGATGCTGGAGTTAACCACGGAATCGGGGTTTGGACTCGGTGTAGAAGCTGCGAGTGCTTGAAGGCATTGCTTCAGATCACCGAGGCGTTCCACTCTTGAGACAGGCTATCGGTGAGATCTATCGGACTTATTTCAAGACCTTTTCTGAGTGGCCTTCAGCTACATTGAAAGGTATTCGGGAAATGGACAGAACGGCTGGGAATTTCACGAAGCTAGGAAATCGGACACGTGAAAATGCATGTATTTTTGGTTATGGACTCATGAGTCACGGTCGGAATATGGGACAGAAATCCTCCCATGTGATGGGGAACTTACGAATAAGATACCATTAATGTTTCAGAATGAGGGCAAGGATGGGCATAAATTGGACCCTCGAGCTGTGATGACTGTATTGAATTGTGTTTCTGGGAGTCGTTGTTGGCAGTAGTCCACCGCGGTTTGGATGAGAATGGCCATCACGCTTTACCACTGCTATCATCGAGTGGGCTTTCGGCTAAATGATACGAGCTCCGAGTGGATGGCAAGCTCAAGCGTTTGAGAGAATCGATTCGGCAAACAATATCCGGAGGGTTCATCAGGGTGGATAGTGAGTCTTAGACTGGCATCGCTACGACGAATAGTGGTTCGCCGGTTAACTGCAGCGAGGGAAGCAAACAAGCCGTACGAAAGCAGAGAAAGGATTGAGTGATTCTGGCAAACTAAAATGAGGACGAAGAAGACGACTGCTCAAAAAGGGAGGCAGCGACGCGCAGGGTTTGAGCGCATGCCCTTTTTCACAGCAAACTGCAGACGCCACATCGAGACCTGGCGGTAGAGGGAGAGGAATGGCGTGACTCTCAGTGTCAACCTGGGGATACCTTGCTTGTGTGTCTCGGCCGTCGGAGGGACTTGGAGAGAGTGTTGTGAGCGCAGAAAATTGAGGTTCGCTCCCGGTACGAGTGGACAACAAGGGCACTGCGGGTTGGTTGGGGAGTAACAAGCGACAGTGCAGGATTTGCATTCTGCATCACACGCGGACTGGCGTCTCCAGTGTCAAGTACCTGTCAAGCGATGTCTTTTGGTATACGTCCCGCTCGCAACCGCTTAGGCTGGTGACCGTTGCGCTGAGATGGTCTTACATGCGTTGGTTCTAATCCGTCGCTGGTCGATCGTTGGCCAAAAGACTACAATGCAGTCAGGCGGGATGCATTTGCAAAAGACAGAACACGCTATCGATTGGATCGCTACCGAACTCTGCGACCTCTGCAACACCCACTGAGAGTCCGCATCTCGCTTCTGTCCTGGCCCGAGAAGGACATGTAGGAGAAGCAGGTCCAGCGCAACGCAGCTGGGCAGAGAGAGCCTTGAGCAACTCGAATTTCCCATGCCAGCGTTTGCCGGATTTCTCGAGTCTAGTCAGACAGTTTGATTGCGGGTTTCGAGCTCGGGTGGGGAGTTCGTTCGGCTTCCAAAGGCTATCCCGGCAAACGAAAGAGTAGGTGTAGGAGCGGATTGTGATCAGTGATTCGTGGAGACAAAGTCAAGTCCAGCCCGCGATAGGCAGGCAAACAACACTGCAGTGCACTTTGGAGTCTGGTTGGGCATCGTAGTGAGGGGCCAGTCGTTTGCTCTTGCTGCGCCGTTGAACCTCATCTGCACCTCCACGCATCCACGTTGTATTCGTAGTCCATCACATCAGTTGATATGGACGGGAGAGGGTGTCCCCAATTACTGCGTCCCAGGTTGCTGGCACTCGTCGATGCAGGCTGGTCCCTGTGGCATTGGCGTGGTGTTTTGCCTCTATTTTCGGTCTGCTGGCCTGCTGGCAGCTCAGCCATCCGTGGTGGAAGCCCCAGCTGCGGCACAGCCAGATAGACAGTGCATATCAGGCAAACGATCGCATACAAGATTGGGTGCAACGAATCCAGGCTCCAGGCATGCAGAGGCCAAACTAAGTGACTTGGCTAGGCAATCTCGTCAGTTCTCATAACCAGAGCAGTCTCGAGGGAA